GAATACAACTTTACGATACATTCAACTTCAACAATCGCGCTATAACAAACTATAATTCACGTCTCACGAGCTCGACTTCAACAATTCGTCTCTCTCTGACTGCAGTTCAATTACTCATTACCTACACACATATTATTGTCCCGTCACCCTCTTATATATACCAGGCTACCCTATATCTAGTAATCTCCCGACAATTCATGAAGGTACAAAATATTTCCAGAAAGCAGGGGGCGTGACACTAGTCACGTGACCTCGCTGACGCAACAGTAGTATTATCATCTGACTATGAGCAATTGATCTAAACGTAATTTGATTAAATAAATAAATCAATGACGTGAAGAAGAAAAATGAACGTTTTTTTTTTCAGTGATTTTATTTAATTACATTTACAAATTAATTTTAAGTCCTATACCTTACGTGTTCTTCGAAAACCTATATTATATTATGGTACATATATCCAAGTGAAACTGAATTACCTGCGGCTCAGCGGTCAGTGGCTTAAAACACAAGAAATCAGATTTCGATTCCCATAGTCGCCATGGCACACTAGCTCTTTATGTGTTTATGCGCTTAACAACAAGCTAACAAAACATTAGAATTAAACCTATTATGTTTCTTATTACTTTATTCAACCATTTAGCGTATTTTAAAAAAAAAGAAGATATAGAGGGCATAATGTGGCTGAAATTATTTTTGTAAGTGTTCTGTCATTGGACGGGTTCTATTGGATTAGTTGGTAAAAAATAATGCCAAGTCCAGTCCCCATAACAATAACGATTTTTTTAAAATAACATTTGCTCTAGACTCAGCTAATAATGTATAACGTAAAAAAAATGTTGTTTTTCAAAATTTTTAGTGCATACTTGAAGGATTTACACATTTTGACAATAAAGTTAGAAAAAAACGATCTTAACACTCTGGATAATTAAGAAATTTTATTTTAACTGACGTTTCGCCTTTGCGGCTTCTTCAAGGCTATTACATAAAACTGTTTATGTGCTAGAGGGAGTAAATTACCTTCCCAAGAGACAGAAGTCTTAGGTAGGAAAGATCGGTCCAGAAAGAGGAGTATATTAGAGCGGACGAAGAGGGTGTGAGAGGCATCTATAGTTTGACATCCGAGTAATGGTAATCGCAGGCGAGAAGGAAGAAACAAATTAAGAGAGAAAAACGACAAAAAAAAAGTAATACGTCTATATATATAGACATTTACTGGATCCAGTATTTTTACTTTCAAACTATATAATAAAGGAAGTGTTTTTCTAATGTAAAATCATTTTTTCTTTCTATAATAAAATCTTAATAAGATATACTCTATCTAAAAAACTTATAAACAAGGTTTCGGAAATGCCATTTTTTGGTAATAATGACCAATTTTTAAGTGAAATGAGCTTACATTTACGAAAAAAGTTATCATGAATCATTGTTTTCATCGCATTTGTGACTTGTACGTTTTAAAAGCATTATTAAAATTTGGTGTGCATTTTTCATAATGAAACAAAGTATTTTGAGTATTCCATAAATACTATTATTGTTCATGTTACAAATTCAGAACTGATTAATGACAGAAAAAACAACAAAAAAAATACTTGAGTTATCATCTAAAATAATCAATTACTGTAAAACGTTGTCCTCCAAACCAGGTTTTATAGATGAATCTTTTTTTTTTTTTGCAAGAAATAATACAAACAGAATAATTTTAGATAGTTTTGTTTCATAAGGCCAGTTTTATTCTCTACAAACATAACTTTAAATTTTTGGTTAAGACATAAAATTTATGTTACAACAATCATGATTTCATGGGTATAACTTACAACTGAATGTATGGTTTACAGCCAGCATACCACACACACTTAAGTCAGCTAACACAACAACGTAAAACCTTCTGTCTCTTGACTAGAGTAGGAATGTACTTATGCAAAGAAAAAAAAAGGGAGAAAGAAAGCATACTGACTCTTTTTTTGATATCTTATCGATGATATGAATAGAAGAATAAACACAATCAAAAAAGCATGAATATGTGAAATCAAGTGTTCAGAAATACCAAACAAAAACAAGGAGACTAAAATAGAAATATTCCATGCAACAACTTCGTCTACTGCAGTAAAAGATGCCTGAAATTACACGAGTCTGTATAGATAATACAACAATAGTGCTTTACGATTAACAGGAAAACTAAGTAATAATAAAACCATTCCTACATCATACCAAACCTTCATCACTGTCCTTAAGCTTTACATCCACAGAGGTACACGTCTCTATCGAGCATTTAAAACTTTTTTTTACCAGTGTCCATTACTTTTTTTAACAAACATCTCCTTTTAGATGACTTTTTAGTAACTGTTGGTGCTTTCATTAAGTTCCTTACGTCATAAAAAAAGAAAGAGAGAGCCTTGGAGTGGATGCATTAACACAAAATGATGTAACTTTTTTCCCTGACAATAGATGGAACTGCCTAGAAGTAAATGTTTCAGTTTTTATTATAACTATGCTGCCTTAAATATTTAATCTCACTATACGACAGCAATTAAACCATTTAAGCCCCTGATTTTGGATGTACTGATACTATCATTTATGGGAATAGTGAAATATGCTAAAGGAAATTAATAACATGCTTCCTTACACATACCAGAACAAACTATTTAACCAAAACTACATAACCAGATCCTTCCTAAGTTTTTAATTGCCACTTTATTTTATACAGTCAACAGATAAAATGTTAATGCAATATCACGAACTAACCTCATTTCGAAGCTGTAAGCAACAGGGCTATACTGCCAACAAATAAAATACAAACCAAATATTCTGTAACATTTTAAGGAACTTCTTTACTGAAAGAACTATTTGTTTCAATTACATCTTTTACTTATTAACATGAAATAAGAAAAAGAATGTTAAACAGTCACAAATCCTATTCAAATCTGGTCATGAAGAATACCAAATTCCTTGACAAAATTCAATAAAACCTTAACAAATGTCAACTATTTCCACGTTTTTTTTAATTTCACCTACATATCATCATAATGCAACTGCCTGGAGGTAATTTTCTCGGTTTATTTGTTTGTTTTTTACAACTGTGGCACCTTAAATATATAGTATCACTACACGACAGCTACTAAACAAAACTCACAAGTTCAAATACATTAAAAATTGAAAACACATTACAAACAATGAAACCATTTTATGTTCCCTAATAGTGGCTTACTAACTTTCACAAATTATTATTCACAGAACAAAAACCCATGTAATAACTACATTATTATAACTGATAGTTATATTCAAAACAATGTTTTTTTAGCAAAAGCCATAGAATATAGTCACTATTTGATTTTACAAAAACATTACATGGCAAGAATTTCAACTAATAATTATTCCAAGTGAGGATGCTTAAAAATTAATAAGTAATGAAGGGCACATTGTGTTATAAAAATAAGATCAAACACTTTCTGTTAGACATTACGAAAGACGAAAATGATTTGAACAAAGCACAATTTTCTGAATAATTTACGTCTCAAAACTAAAACTGGATAAGATCAATTGAAAAAGGGGAACCCTTAATTTCTCAGACAAAGAAATTCAAGCTACAAGATTTCAGTGAAAACAAAGTACTAAATATTTACTTTACTTAAACATGAAATTTTAAATTTGCAACACTAGAAAAAAATTACATGGGCAGTGAAATATATTTTGATATTAGACACACTTACAAAAAAAATAATAAAAAATACAGTTTTAGAAGATTGAAAATACATATATTGTATGACCTTGAGAACTAAATTTCAATATATTTTCACATTTATCACTTATTACTTTTTTCTTGCATTAGGGAGGGGGATGAGGGTCGGATTTAGAATAATTGTGTAATATTTTTCCCATTATATTGCATTTTGTAACTTTATTATTCATATTTAACAGGATAAGTAGCTTCACCCCCTTTTTTTCAAAACTCTTAAAGTAAGAAAATTAGCTTGGAGAGTTTAATAACAATGGGAAAAAAATGTGTAAATATATATTATCAAAAATCTGTCACTTGTAATACTGCCTTTTCCTAATAAACATAAATAAATAAATATATACAAAGTACCAGATTACTATTCAACCAGGATATTTTTATTCTATTTTTATTCCGTCAATTAAAATTTAAAGGTAATTTGAATTTATAAACCTGAAACTGAAGGACTATGCTAGATATTAAGTAATATTTTTGGTTAGTGATAAGTCATTCTTAAATATTACAAACAGTAAACAAACATGTTTCAGTACACACGTACATATTTCAGTATGGTTAAGACAGAAGAAAATTTCACTTGATTAATATCAAAGAATCTATAGGCAACATTAGTAATAACTTTAAATGGTGGAATGTATATGTATTATTAATGGATAGAACTGCAAAAGTTCTAAACTTGGTCAGAAAACAGCTGAAGTTGAATTTCAAAAACACTTAAGACATTTACTTTCACTAACATACTGAAATTACAAACCAAAACTATTATTTTAACTTGATAACATCTATAAAACAAATGACAATTTAATGAAACCCAGCTATTAAAAACTGAGTTTACTTCAATTAATCCATTTTGTAACTAAGTTTACATTTACTGTGACCTAACAAATACTGATAAAAATTACAATTAAAAGTTTACTTTTACAAAAGTGTACTTTTATCAGTATATTTTGTATAAAAACCAGTGGTTAAATTGTTACTACATAAAGATCACAAGGAAGTTTTCATGTTGTAAGCAATTTTTCAAAAAACTTAAAACTATAAACAATAAAAATGAATCAGTGTGGAACTTCTGAATGTACTATCCCTGTATTTCAACTTGATCTTAGATCTTAATATATGAAACTTCTATTCGGAAACACACTAGTAAAAAGAAACCAGTTTTTAAAACATTTTAGTCAGCTTTATGTAATCCACCACAAGATACTGATAGCATTTTAGAAGACAAACTTAATGAATAAAACAACACTACGAGTGATGAAACAAATCACAATGAGTATTATATCATTTCTATTGAAAACAAAATGTGCTTTGAAGTTGATGGTCGAGAAATTAAATTGCAAAAAAAACCCAAAAAAAACAGTTGCATGAATTAGATCATGCTAAATGTTGCTTAGTATCAAAATTATTTGCAACAACTTATTAAAACTTCAGTGTTTAACTTTTACAAACTGCTTAAAAATAACTTGAAGAAATGAGCTAGAAACTCTGGAGGGTATCTGCAAGAAAAAAATTATTTTGCTACATGTAAAAAACAAGAATAGTTGTAATTTTTCATCATTAATGAGTCTAATTACTTTAACTACAATTGCACCCTGTGCATGCCATCAACTTATGTCAATATATTCCATGATCGATTAAATATATTCTTTAAATTTTCCATATTGTATCAATGGATCTTTTTTGTTCAATTCCATGTACAACTCCTGTTGAAGAGTTAAATTCATTATCAGGTTTGAAAGTTATTCTTTTCATGATATTTGTGAAATATAGTATTTGCTGCATAACTTCATTTCTTCTGATGTGCTTATGTTGATTTTAGATACCCATCAATTATTGTTATGCCAAATCTTTCGGTAAATCAAGTACTATTGATTGTATTGACTAAAATTTTAGTTTAGCTTACATCAACAATTTAAACTTTCTAACTAACACTTCTAATGAAACACAAATTATAATAACAAAGCATTCAACAAGACTATCTTTCTTTACAATAAATTACAGCTGTAACAAATTTTTTTATCTAATTTTAAAGTTTTAAACACCTAAATAATCCATCAACATCAAACGAGTCAGTTATATATTTAAATTGTAATACACAAAAATCAAATTATAACAGACTAAAATGGAGCTTAACAACAAAAGTCCACCAGTAATCTGGTATACAAAAATTCTGTTCACTCTCTACAGACAAGGATATATATATTCTTTAAGTCTGTAACCAGTGAAAGAATGGGAGGGATCCTTTTACAAACTTAAAAAGTTTCTATAAAACAATTCACAATCCTTTATACTTAAAAGCTTTTTTTTATTATTTGGTTTATCTTTGTTTCGCTACAGATAAAGAAAAGCATCACTTAAATATTTCCACAAGATCTTGTTAAATTACTTTACATGGAATTAATGAACAGTACGTTCTAGCAATAAGTAATAATATACTGAATGATTTTTCTTCATAACTCCCAAGTATTAAAATAGTAGAAAAAAATTATTACATTATTTCATGTTATTTTCAGATATATAATTACAACCGTTATGACCTTTAAGTTCTCTAAAGAATAAAATAATTAAAATATTATATCCACAAATATGGATTAGTTAGAACAGCACTCAAGAAATTAATGACTTTTTATTGCTTAAAAATCTAATGTAATTTAGTACATGTTCAAAGCAAGATTCTGAATTATGAGAAACAAAAGTTTCAAACCAATAAATAAAAATTGCCAAAATGATACCAAACATTAGATGTCTTCTATGACATAAAACTAATCAGGATAAGTTATTTATAGAGCATAATTTATAAATAATGATTCTTACAGACAGAGAAAAAATATACAACCTTTATAGATAACTACATGAAGCACAAAAGCAGGAACAAGAAACCTTTAGTTCCCAAGCAAATATTCTGTTGATCTAAATGAATTTAAGAGGGAGCAAGCTAAGTAAGAAATAATGGAAGAAATAATCTGAAAAGGTACATTGTTTAACAAATCTTTTGATCAATACACACACAAACACACACACATATACATTAAATATACATATCTTTAGTTACACTTTAAACTTTGGTACCAACAAACATTTAAAATGGATAAACTACAGAAATTGGCTGTAACCTATTGATCTGACCGTCTTGAAACACCTTGTGGTGGGCATGGATGTACTCTTGTAGTACGTGCAGGAATTGGAGGTGCAGGTTGAGAGAGAGGAGTTGATCCAAATGTTATTGTAGGCATTACTTTTGGGCGAGAAGGAATTGGAGGAGGAGGTGGCTCTGTAGGCAGCTGAGGAACGTTTTCTACTGGAGGAGGAGGTGGCAGCTTTGTAAGTGACTGAGGAACATCTACTTTACCAGAGGGTGGTGGCGACTGCCATGAGGACACTGGAGGTTCTGGTGGTGACATTTCCGGCTCAGGCCACGACTGAGTTGATGATCCCATTTCATATGAATCAATACGAGGAGGAGGTGGTGGTGGTGGAGGAGTGTTGGGAGGAGCAGATGCTTCACTGGTAGTGTATGGGACTGAAGGCGGGGGAGGTCTTGTTGGTGGATCTTCAAGCACCTTCTCTTTAGTGGGCCAAGATCCAGAGACTGATGCAGATACAGAATTATCCCATGCCTGGTTCCAATTAGATGGAACTTTCATATCAGCAACACCCTCAGAGATGACATGTTCTATACTTGGCAATGGAGGTCCTTCGACAGGAGGAGCTTTGCTTCCAAACACTACCTACAAGTTTTAAAAACATTAAATGAAAAACAATATTTATATCAACCTTTGCTGTAGAAAGTGAAATGAATGTAATTAAATATAAGGGATGAAATTACCTTAATTAAATATAACAGAAAAAAATCTGAAGTAATCTTAATTAAATATACTGGAAAAGACTGACTAGGATATTCACACTGGATACACGCTAATGTTATACGTTAAATAAAGGTAGTCTGCAAGAACAAAAAGCTGGATGCACGCTAATGTTATACATTAAATAAAAGTAGTCTGCAACAAGAAAAATCAGCATACACGCTAATATTATATGTTAAATAAAAGTAGTCCGCAAGAAGAAAAATAAATATTACATATAGGCTAGAAACTATAAAAACAAAATTGGTGACAAAAAAAAGCATGAAATTTTAAATTTCAATTCATTCAGTACCTTGAGAAATATCAGATGAAAGATATCAACAATTAAAGGAGCCAGAATTCTCAAAACAGTATGACTATCTTTAATCCTTACTAAAGTGAGGAAATGACAAACCAGCTGCACAACTATGCTTTTCACAAATATAAATATTCTACTGTATACTTAGCTTTTAAGTTCACCATCAAAAATCTGCTTCAAACATATGGAACAGTCATTTGTAGAAAGATCAACTTTATTACCAGATTATTTTTCTTGGATAAAAACTTGTAGTAGTTAGTATATTAAGTTACACACGTGTTCAAAACAATAAATAATTTTACTTCTTCACGAGCTCTTATTTCCCTCCTGGGGGAACCCTTTGTTGTTGAGCTAGCTGGAGGTGGTGGAGGTCTACGAGGAGGTTGTGGACGTGAAGGTGGTGGTGGTCTTGGTGGCCTTGTATGAGTTCCTTGGTCATTAAAGTCTGTAGGTTCCCCAAGTGATGGTGTACTACGTCCAGAAGAAGGCTGGGACATGGTCAACTGGGTTTCCTCCTCATCCACAACAAGATAAGCTTTATAAATAAAAACTTACATTCAAGAACTTAATCATGTATTTATATCAAATAAAAAACTCAAACTCAATGATCTTCACAGCCATGAAATAAATTTATAAGATTAGAAGCCAAGGCATCCCAAGGGTTGTTTTTTGATTCACACAGTCACAGTAATGATTTTTCCTCTCTCACACTCATAAACATATGCATATCCAGTGTACACACAATAACAAAATTTCAAAATAGAAATCCAAAGTTGGCAATGTTTAACAGCAATGATTAACAACTTAATAAAAACCACAGAAATAATTCTTATACCTTCCATGTCATAACCAACTTCAGGAGGTTGATATTCGTCATCTAGTAAGCCAATACCTTCATCATGTTCTTGGTTTAGTGGTACTGTGTTATTCCTACACAGCTTGAGTTCCTCCTCAACGGCAACTTTCCAGTCTGGAGTCTTCAGTTTCACTATAATCCTGTGACCTAGAACCTGATATAAACAAAACAGTTCCTCTGCCTTAACAAGTAACAAATGTACTTTTGACTACTATTCCATTCTTTCAAATCATTCTATTTCTTAATAATAGAATAACAGGTTAAAACAACTACTACAACATATCGCTTCCATAAGATATGTTTTTATTCAAATGCTATTTATTGTTGTATGATCCTCTTAAGTAATACCATCATTTGGAAATATCCATTCACTAAAGACCTCAATTTTCTTCTTCGAGCTACTTCCCATACTACATTATAATTTTCCTACGCTGAAAATGTATTTCCAACTGGTACTTACTTCCACTCACATACATAGCTATTCTTGTTTAGTGCTGTCCTCTATTTGCAAACTTTTTTTCGCATGCCACAAGCCTTTTATTCCTATGTACCCTCTTGGTTTACATGGTTTAACTGATTTACGCGTGCAAATTATCATGTGGCAAACCTCCACCAATAGACATGCCTCACACATACATGTGGTTCCGTCTATGCTATTCAACCTAACTATCTCTTCGAGCTTAGGCAGAAAACTAAGCACTGGTAGACAGTGGGGAAGGAAGGGTGGGAAGTGTGAATGGAAGTACGTACCTGTTGGAAATACATTTTCAGTGAAGGAAAATTATAACTTCTGAAAAGGTACCTTACTTCTGCTCACATAGATAGCTAAAATCCCACACTGAATAGGTGGAGGGACCAATGCAAGGGAGAAATAAGAAGCATCCTCAAACATTCAAAGACACCCTCCCCAAGAGGGAATCCTTAAAGAAGAGTATGATACATGGAAGAACACACCATTTCTGTACCAGGTATACTCTTTGCACAGATATGGAAAAGGTGAGAATGAGTTGAGCAGACAACAACGAAGAGTACATCTCATTGTGGGTAAAAGAAGGGATGTGTCCAAATGTGTAGAGTGGCTAGGGGGTGATGGACCATACAAAACAAGTAAACTGCATCCAAAACTCTACTGCCAGGAACTGACATCTACATGGGGGTAGGACAAGGATCATACTATCAGTAAGTCAACTTCAATCCAAAACTCAACTGCTGGGGACCAATATCCAAACAGTAGTAGGAAAGAGAATCATACCATCTTCACCTCAAGTTCAGCCAATTGGAGGGAAAATTATCACCATTGATCGGTGACCAGGGCACATGTGATCAGAATAAAATACAGATATATCCCTCTCAAATCAAGTATACTGGAACCACCCCAAATGCATCTTCAGCATAAAGACCAAAGACCTTGAGGAGAGAGCAAGAGGAGGAAGCAAAGCAATGACTAAGTGCACCCACTAAGACCAGCAGTACAGGGAAGTGCACCTGAGAAGAACTGAGTAATTGAGCAGGGTCATCTTGAATACGTGTGAGGACTTATGTTGATTGGTTCAGCTCGATATACAAAACTCAAATGCTTGGAACTAACATTCATGTGGGGAAAGGATGAGGAATCCCAATCGAAGGGGTAAACTGCCTTGACACCAGCACACTAAATGTGTGAGTAAATCATGTTGATTGGTTCTGCTCTAAATCCAAAACTCAACTGCCAGGAACCAATATCCTACCTCTACAGGTAGAGGTAGGATAAGGGATCCCAATCATCACACCATGAGTGTGGTCAATATGTTGATTGGTTCAGCCTAAATTCAAAATTCAACTGCCAGGAACCAACTTCCATGTATTATGAATGGATGCATTATTTTCATATTGTATATTTCACATTCACAAGGAAACCTCCATGGTCCAACACCCAGCGGCTTGGAACTGGAAAGTGGTAAGGACTCTTACTTCACTGGAAGAAACAGGGGAAAAAACACGGTGGAGAGTCAGGATGAACATTCACACCAGAGACAGTGCAATGGGTGACCATGAAACCCTATACTGAAAAGCAGATCAAACCTGATTTATTCAATCTAAGGAATGGCAGGGATGGGCAGCTATCCCCTTCTGCTTTACCCATGAAGCCCATGGGTGAGTATTGTCTGGAAGGGGCGTATTCAAAAAGCACATATATCACGAGAAATAACCTACAAGCAATCTTACAGAACACCACATCTATTTTATATTACATATTTGTATGCATTTAATGGCCATAAAAGAAAAAAAATCAACATGGCCTTTCGGTGCAGATTTGAGTACCAAACTAAGTAAGTGAAGAAAACCTGGCCAGATAGCACTTGCCACAGAGCAGAATTCAGATCAAAACATGAGATAGACCCCTGAAAAAGATAAATAAGGAAAAAAGAAAATTTACCCAGTTATATTCACACTGAGGTTTGAAGCATCACAACAAGCTGATGATGATAACCCAATGAGGAAAAAACAGTAACATGATGCAGATAGTGAGAGATGAAAGTACGCAGAATGGTCCACATGCTCGGATGAAGAATTTCTTCCAGTGAATGAAGCAGATGAGACACCAAAGAAAAAGTGAGGTGCCTCATCTGATGGGAAGACACCTGGAATAATTGATGGGAAGAAGGAAACAAGGAGGACTAAGCCAATCAAATTAAAAACCAAACCCAATTGGTAAGGGTGGAAGGAGATAGATCATGAACAGAAAATAGTTTCCAAGAAACGAATAGACGGAAATGGTGATGATGGAAGGAAGCTGTGCAAGCAATATAAAAATGAAAAGCACAAATGAAACATAGAAGTCTATCCAGATCAGACAGGGAATAGAGGTGCGAAATTGGCAAGAAGGAGTAGTTACCCTTCTTAGCTGGCAATGTTTTGGGAAGGAAGGAAGAATGATATGGAGTACATGAAACGTCGGTGGCAAACAAATCTGACCAATGACATCTGCAGGGCAAAAGGAGGAGGAAATACACTTTATGGGCTAAATGAAATGTGAAACAAGAAGACAAAGGTTGAAACACAGGTAAAGTAAGGCAATGAAGCACTACATTGACATCCCACGTGTGGACGGAGACTAATCCAAAAGGAACGTAACAAAAGGGAAAAGGTATAGGAGGCAAAAACTTTACAGTACTAAGAAAAACAAAACGAGTGGGATAAGACCACCTGATAACCGACGATCGAGGAGATCGAAGCCCTCTGATCAAATAACCGAGTGAGGAAATCCGTAATAACAGGAACAGTGGGATGAAAAGGGAAGAACCCCTGGCCCAAAGACCAATGACACATTCCACTTATGCTGATAAACCTCCATGGAAGAAGTTTGAACAGAACATGCCAACAATGAAGCTACTCCCCATGATAAACCAGATTTCATTGCCAAGGACTGGATAAAAACCAGGCGTAAGGATGAAGGGCAGAAATGGCAGGATGAACTACCCAGGACTGAGGCTGCTGTAGAAGGGTTGGAGTGTTGGGTAGAGGCAACAGTGAGCAGCTTGGATCTGAATCAGCCACAGAAACCATGGCTGAGCTGGCCAATATGGAGTAATCAGAAGGACCTGACATGGAAGGAATTAGATAGGAGGATAAACATAAAGGAATTTGTATGTCCAATCTTGACTGAATGCATCGACAGCCAGAGTAAGTGGATGAGGTACTGCAGAACAAAACTGAGTATCTTGGTATTAAGAATAGTGGCAAATAAATATCTTGTGTATGGGCCCAAAACATGAGATTCAACGTTCAAGAACAAAGGGAATAAGAACGAATGCCTCCTTGGTGATTGATATATGCTATGACCATAGAATTGTCTGTAAGGATCATAACCAGACAATTGTGGCCAAGAGGGAAGAAAATGATCCAAAGCCCACTGGACAGCAAGCAGCTGCAGGATATTGATAAGATAAGACCTTTCTGTTGTAGACCATAGACACGAAGTAATTTGGTGCTTTACCCATGCCCACCAGCCGTGAAGCAAAGCATCCACAAAAAGATGTAAATCTGGATGAGGGAGAGGAAGCGGAACCCCACCAAAGTGTAAGCCTTGTTCAACCACCAATGCAGATCGTCGACAAGTGAAGGAGGAAGGATAAGAGGAACATCCAAGGAATCACGTGCAAGGTTCCATTGGGGATAAGTGCCACCGTATAAAACCACATCCACAAAAGAGATAGAACCTTGTGAGCAGTAAGGGGGTTGATGACTGTCAGCTCCATCAAAAAGAGTTGAAATAAAGAAGGTTGGACCCGACTGAGATGAGTGTTGAACAAAACACCCAAATGGATAAGATATTGGGTAGGAGCAAGGAGTAATTTCTTCAACTTGATAAACCAACTGACCCGAGTCACTTTCAAAAGAATCAGATGAGTATGTTGGGTGGACTCCAGTTCAGAATGAGCCAGGAGAAGCCAATCATCCATGTAATGGTGGAAGCGCAATCCTTGAATATACATAAGACCCGCAAAAGCCTTGACCACCTGACAAAAGAAATATGGGGCTGTAGCAAGCCTGAAAGGAAGACCACAAGACTGATAAACTATCCCATGAGGAACAAACCAAAGATAGTGTCTCGATTGTCTCAATATGGGAAAAAGGAGATAGAAAATTGAGACATCAACCTTGATCACCAATAAGCCCTGAGAAAAAGCCCACCTGAGATGGAGAAATGATTCCATGGTAAAATGAGGTAGCATCAAGAAGAGATTGAGGCATGATAGATCTATAACAGGACAACAGTCCCCGGTTTTCTTAGGGACTACAAACAGCCTGGAATAAAACCCTGGAGAAGCGTGAATTAAAGGTTCTATGGCATGTTGAGAGAGAAGATCTTGTACTACCTCGTACAGAGGGTGACATGTGGAAAGGTCCTGAGGCAATGAAAAGGAAATCTGGTATCTGCAACAATGGAGGAGGGGAGAGGAAATGGATGACAAGTCCCTCTGCTAAAACCTGAAGGACCCATAGATCTCTGGCGAAATCTCAACACAGATGAACAAACTGGAACAAACAAGCCCCCATCGGAACAGAACCAACAGGATAGTCACCAATACAGTTGGTGACGTGACACTCATCATAAAATAAAATGGTGAAAAGATGATTCCCTTGTGGAAGAAACAGGTAAGGGTAGGGAAGGAGTAGGACAGGGAACAGATGTAGGGATTGTCGAGGCTCTATACAAGATAAACAATCAACTAACGAGAAAAGAGTCAATTGCTGTTTAACAGATTCTACACGTGATTCCAAAGTCACCAGAAGATCTCCAAAGATTGACTGATGGAGAAAAAGGGCAAGGCATAAGTCCTGAAGATAAGGTGATGGTAAACGAATATAGGACAAAACTGCATCTCTCCCCACTAAAGAAAATGTCTTAACACAAGCACTGCCAAACAAGAAGTGATAGTTAGGTAGAATAGCATAGAGGGAGTTACATGAATCACATGTGTGGGGCATGTTTATTAGTGGAGGTTTATCACATGATAATTTGCATGCGTGAATCAGTTAAACCATGTGAATCTGAGAGGGTACATTGGAATAAAAGGCTTGTCTTATGTGAAAAAATTTTCAACTAGAGGGCAGCACTGAACCAGAATAGTTATGTACATGAACGGAAGTAAGATACCTTGTCATAATTTTAAATTTAGCTTAACTACTTTATTACAAGACATAATAATGCATTTATTTTTG